TACCCAGGCTGGAGTGCAATGGCACGATCTCGGCTCACCGCAACCTCTGCCTCCTGGATTCAAGCAATTCTCCTGCCTCAGCCTCCCGAGTAGCTGAGAGTACAGGCATGCGCCACCATGCCCAGCTAATTTTTGTGTTTTTAGTAGAGACGGGGTTTCACCATGTTGACCAGGATGGTCTCGATCTGTTGACCTCATGATCTACCCACCTCGGCCTCCCAAAGTGCTGGGATTATAGGCGTAAGCCACCATGCCCGGCCTAACTGTTTTCAAAAAAGAATAGCATTAGAGGATTTAACACTACTCCCTTTCACAACTTAAGTAATCAAGGCATTGTGGCATTGGTAGAAGGATAGGCGTATAGATCAATGGATCCAAATTGAGAATCTAGAAATAAATATTGTTATGGTCAGTTGATTTTCAACAAAGGTGCCATTATCATTCAATGGGGGAAGGACAGTCTTTCAACAGCTAGTGCTGAAACAATTGTTATCTACATGCAGATTTTAAAAAAGGAGCCAGGACTGGTGGCTCATGCTTGTAATTATAGCACTTTGGAAGGCAGAGGTGGGAGGATCATTTGAGCCCAGGAGATTGGGCTGCAGTGAGCTACGATTGCGCTACTGCACTCTAATGTGGGCAACAGAGCAAGACCATTTCTATGAATGAATGAATGAATGAATGAATGAAGGAAGGAAGGAAGAACAGAGACCTTATACTATATAAAAATGACTTCACAGTGAATGTTAGACAAAATGTAAGAAATAAATGGTAAACTTTTAGAAGACAGTCTGTGATTCTGAACAAGAAGTTCTTGGCCAGGCACCGTGGCTCACACTTGACATCCCAGCACTTTTGAGAGTTGGAGGCGGGTGAATCCCGAGGTCAGGAGATGGAGACCATGCTGGCCAACATGGTGAAACCCCTTGTCTACTAAAAATACAAAAATTAGCTAGATGTGGTAGCACATGCCTGTAATTCCAGCTACTTGGGAGACTGAGGCAGGAGAATTGCTTGAACCAGAGAGTCAGAGGTTAACAGTGAGCCGAGATTGTGCCACTGCACTCCAGCCTGGCAACAGAGTGAGACTCTATCTGGAAAAAAAATGTTCTTGCCTATGACTCCAAACACACTGTTTATTAAAAAAAAAAAAATTAGATTTTATCAAAATTAAAACCTTTGTAATTCAAAAGAAACAAACCATTAACACAATGAAAAGATACAAACAAAATCTTTTTGGATCATACATCTGATGTAGGACTTGGATCCAGAATATCTAAAGAGCTCTTATAAATTAATAAGATAAACAATTTAGTTTTACAGTGGCCAAAGGATTTTGCCATTAGATATTTTATTGATGATTAGAAAAATGCAATCAAAACAACAATGCAACCAAAACAATACTATTTCACATCCTCTAGAATGATTATAATTAAAAAGTCATATAGTACCAACTTTTATTGAGGATGTGGATAAACTAGAATCGTTATGTATTGCCAGTAAAAATGTGAAATGGATACAACCAGTTTGGAAAATAGTTTGGCAGTTTCTTTAAAAGTTAAACAACAATGCCATATGACCCGGTAGTCCCACTCCCAGAAATCTAAGAGAAATGAAAACAGTGAAATGTCCACACAAAAACTTGTACACAAATGCTTATAGCAGCATTGTTTAGTATAACCAAAAAAGTAGAGACAACCCAGTTTTTCATCAATTGGTGAATAAATAAACAAGATATACGTCCATATGATGGAACATAGTTTAGCAATTACAGTTGGCCCTTGAACAATGAGAAAGTTAGGTTCACTGACCCCCATGCAGTCAAAAAGTTACACATAACTTTTTTTTTTTTAGAAGTAAAATATCTTTATTTTCTTACATACACACTATATTCAAGTAAACCACCCACCCTGAAAACAGCACGTTCTGGCTTTTCCATTAACCTCCAGAAGAATATAAATTGGAGTCTCTGATAATAGTTCCTTCCCCAGAGTGGGGAGTATGCGTTGGGGGTGTGTGTGTGTGTGTGTGTGTGTGTGTGTGTGTGTGTGTGTGCGCGCGCGTGCGTGTGTGTGTGCGTGTGCGCACGCGCGGAAAACCTTCCGATTCCACGGGATCCGGCCAGCCCCTCTGAAGACACACAGCCCTCCTTGCCTTACACCCTGGCTCCAGCTTCAGGTGTCTTCCTTGATCCAGGGAGAGGCCTCAGCCTGGGGCAGGTGTGATGTAAACCAGTCACTCAAATCAAGCTCCATCCCATTCTTCTGCAAAGAATTGAGGAAGTCTTGCCACTCTGCTGGGTAAAAACGTTTATAGACATTGATCTTATTCTGAATCTGTTTTGGGGTATCTTGATAGTAATTCTTCTCATCGGGGGCCATGGCCTTATAGTCCTCCCCGTGGTTCTCCACCATGTAGCATATGTAGTCAATGAGGTCCCAAGACAGAGTATTTCCTTCCTTTTCTGGAAGGCTGGCTTCCGCTTCCAGGTCATTCAGCACATAGGGCTTCCGCACAAGCTCTTTCAGCCTCTCCTCTGTGTCCACCTGCGTGGCCTTCACCTTTCTCTTACAGAGGGGCACCGCCTTGTTGGGGTCCACAGCCAACCCCATCTTGGCCAGGTTCTGCCGCACCGATTTAGCGTGGTCCCAGGCATGTCGGATGTGGGAGCACTCGATCCGCGGCGCTGCCTTCCGTCCAGCATTCCAGTTCAGACGCTTTTGGTTGACATTGTAACCAAACTTCTGCCTCCAGGTCTTGCCCTTGGCCTTGGGCATTGCGCTGACCACCCCACCAGCAGCTCACACGCGGTGCCTCTCTTAGACCTGGTGTGCCTCCCCTCAAATTTAACTTTTTTTTTTTTGAGACAGAGTCTTGCTCTGTCACCTAGGCTAGAGTGCAGTGGTGTGATCTCGGCTCACTGCAACCTTTGCCTCTTGGGTTCAAGCCATCTCCTGCCTCAGCCTCCCAGGTAGCTGGGATTACAGGCGCCCACCACTGCGCCTGGCTATTTTTTTTTTTTTCTCCCGGCTTTTTTTTTTTTCCTTTTTTAGAGCTGGAGGCTCACTCTGTTGCCCAGGATTGAGGTCAGTGGCGTAATCTCAGCTCACTACAACCTCTGCCTCCCAGGTTCAAGCAATTCTCCTGCCTCAGCTTCCCGAGTAGCTGGGATTACAGGCATGTGCCACCACACCCAGCAAATTTTTTTTTTTTTTTATTTGAGACGGAGTTTTCGCTCTTGTTACCCAGGCTGGAGTGCGATGGCGCGATCTCGGCTCACCGCAACCTCTGCCTCCTGGGTTCAGGCAATTCTCCTGCCTCAGCCTCCTGAGTAGCTGGGATTACAGGCACTCACCACCATGCCCAGCTAATTTTTTGTAGTTTTAGTAGAGATGGGGTTTCCCCATGTTGGCCAGGCTAGTCTCAAACCCCTGACCTTGTAATCGGCTCACCTCATCCTCCCAAAGTGTTAGGATTACAGGCGTGAGCCACTGCGCCCAACCCCAAATTCAACTACTAATATCCCACTGTTGACCAAACGCCTCACTGATAACATAGTTGATTAACACATATTTTGTATGTTATATATGTTATGTGCTATTATTTAACATAATGTTAAGAAAATCATATGGAAGAGAAAATATATTTACTATTTATTATGTGGAAGTTGGTCAAATCACTGTAATGGTTTTCATCCTTATCTTCTTCCCATTGAGTAGGCTTAGCGGTGAGGAGGAAGAGTGCGGTAGGTCTTGCTGTCTCAGGGATGGCCAAGGAGGAAGAAAATTTGCCATTAAGTGGATCTGCACAGTTCACCCTGGTGTTGTTCTCAGCAGTAAATGGAATTAACTTCTAACACATGGATAAACCTCAAAAGCATTATGCTAAATGAAGCCAGACGCAAAGGCTACTATTATATACTTCCATTTATATGAAATGTCTAAGAAAGACAAACATACAGAGAAGAAAAGCACATTAGTGGCTGTGTAGGGTGGAGCTGGGCATGAAGATTAATTGCAGTGAGCATAAGGGAGCTGATGTGTTGGCAAGCATCAGCAATCCCAGCTACATTGGAGACTGAGGTGGGAGGCTCCCTTGACCCCAGGAGTTCAATTCTAGCCTGGGCAACACAGCAAACCCCCCATCTTTTAAAAAACAAAAAATAAAACACCAAAAAGGGAACATGCACTTTTGAAAAGGGCATGAGTAAATTTTCTGGGGGTGATAGAAATGTAAAACTGGATATAATGATGGTTGCACATCTCTATAATTTTACTCAAATCACTGAATTGTACACTTACAAAGATGAGTCTTATGGCATGTAAATTACACGTCATTAAAGCTGTTTTTTAAAAATATAATGCAAACTAAAGTTCAAAAGCCACACAAATGTAAGATTCTTAAATAGGTTTAAGTTGTACGCCCTCAAGTATTCTTACTTGGAAAGACAAAGCAAGTATTCATGAGGTGATCGTTTGTTACTTTTATTCATATTTTAAGTATTCAAGATAGAAATTAATCTTGAATACCATATAAAGAAAGAATGATACTAAAAAGTGGACAGCAGCTGGGCATGTTGGCTCATTCCTGTAATCCCAGCACTTTGGGAGGCTGACGCGGGCAGATCACCTGGGGTCAGGACTTCAAGACCAGCCTGGCCAACATGGTGAAATCTTGTCTCTACTAAAAATAGAAAAAATTAGCTGGGTGTGGTGGTGCAGGCCTGTAATCCCAGCTACTCGGGAGACTGAGGCAGGAAATTCCTTGAACCCAGGAGGCAGAGGTTGCAGTGAGTTGAGATCATGCCACTGCACTCCAGCCTGGCAACAAATCGAGACCTTGTCTCAAAAAAAAAAAGAAAAAGAAATAAAATTGGATAGTGGCCAGGCGTGGTGGCTCACACCTGTAATCTCAGCACTTTGGGAGACCTAAGCGGGGTATTGCTTGAGTCCAGGAGTTCTAGACCAGCCTGTTCTAGACATAACAAAACCCTATCTGTAATAAAAATACAAAAATTAGCCACACATGGTAGCGCTCACCTGTAGTCCCAGCTACTTTGGAAGATGAGGTGGGAGGATTGCTGGAGAGCCTGGGAAGTGGAGGCTGCAGTGAGCTGAGACCACACCACTGCACTCCAGTCTGGGCAACAAAGCCAAACCCTTTCTCAAAAAAAAAAAAAAAAGGTGGAGGGGACAAGAGGCTAGGAATGGGACAAGAGGCTAGGTATGGTTTTCTTATACCTGTAATTATAACACTTTAGGAGGCCAGGGTGGGAGGATCACTTGAGGCTAGGCGTTCAAGACCAGCTTGGGCAACATAGTGAAACCCCATCTCTATTAAATGAAAAAAGTTGACAAGAAAAACATAAAAGTAAAGACATTTGTTTTGCTTTACGATTACTAGAAACATGCTGAGTATAAAATTGAAGGATTAATTACAAAGACCTGCCCTAAACATATACATTATATATTTTACAGTTAGAAATATAAGCCAAACTACTCTAGGTTAGTAAGTTTTATTTAATCCAAAAAGTTACACGATTATTTAAATGGCAAACATGGATATGTTGTTCACAAAAGCAATGGAAGCAAACCCATTTGTTAAAAAAAATTTCTGCAACATAAATTTGCTTTTATTTATTTATTTTTTTGAGATAAAGTCTTACTCTGTCGCTCAAGCTGGAGTGCAGTGGTGAAGTCTCAGCTCACCACAACCTCTATCTCCCAGGTTCAAGCTATTCTTCTGCCTCAGTCTCCCAAGTAGCTGGGACTACAGGCATGCGCCAGCACACCTGGCTAATTTTTGTATTTTTAGTAGAGATGGTTTTCACCATGTTGGCCAGGCTGGTCTTGAACTCCTGACCTCAGGTAATCCACCCGCCTCGGCCTCCCAAAATGTTGAGATTACAGGCGTGAGCCACCTCACCTGGCCATTTTTATTTTTAAGATTAGTGAAAATGCCGTTTTGTTTGGGAATTTGTGAATTATCTGCAAACTAACTCGTTTTAGTGTCTGAAAGGATTCTTAGCTCTTGGTTAGCGCTTTTTTCCTATTTCTTTGAGCCCTTCCTGTTTCCCCTTGGAACTCCTAGGCCCGTTGTCTCCTGTTTTCCACACAGAATAAATTCTTGGTTTCATTCTGTTCTCAGTGGAGATTCTGCTTGTTAGATATTCATCACCTTAGAAAAACATTGTTGAAATAGTTCATCTAATTTATAGGTCACTGTTTCCATAGCTGTCTCAGTTTCTTCTGGTTTGTTCATCATATTTAAAAATTTATCACAGATTTTAATTTTTTATGACATTCTCAATCATTTTTAGTTATAGAAGAAAAAATAAGTTTTAGTTTGATGATATAGTACTTCTAAAGTAGAGAAAAGAATTTGGCACAAATGTCAAGCAGTCACGAGATTAGGATTTGAACCTTAGACCAAGTTGATTATCAGCCTTGTGAGTTTGGGTAACTAAGTCCTTAAAACTAGCATCCTCATCTTCCTAAAAGAGGGTGATTACAAAATTTATTGAGATAACAAATTTGTTTAATGTATAACAGTTGTACAATTTTTCTTGTGCTTGGAATAAGCAGTACCTTTTATACAATTATGAAATCAATTCTTTCATTTTGAGATTGGTGCTTTTTTTTTAATTGCATTTTAGGTTTTGGGGTACATGTGAAGAATATGCAAGATTGTTGCATAGGTACACACGTGGCAGTGTGATTTGCTGCCTTCCTCCCCCCCACCTATATCCGGCATTTCTCCCCATGCCATGCCCCCCCAACTCCCCACCCCGCCCCCCGCTGTCCCTTCCCTATTTCCCTATTTCCTTCCAACAGACCCCAGTGTGTAGTGCTCCCCTCCCTGTGTCCATGTGTTCTCATTGTTCAACACCCGCCTATGAGTGAGAACATGTGGTGTTTGATTTTCTGCTTCTGTGTCAGTTTGCTGAGACTGATGACTTCCGGGTTCATACATGTCTCTACAAAGGACACGAACTCATCTTTTTGATGGCTGTGTAATATTCCATGGTGTATATGTGCCACATTTTCCCTGTCCAGTCTATCATCGATGGGCATTTGGGTTGGTTCCAGGTCTTTGCTATTGTAAACTGTGGTGCAATGAACATTCACGTGCATGTGTCCTTAGAGTAGAACAATTTATAATCCTTTGGATATATACCCAGTAACGGGATTGCTGGGTCAAATGGAATTTCTATTTCTAGGTCCTTGAGGAATCACCACACGGTCTTCCACAATGGTTGAACTAATTTACGCTCCCACCAACAGTGTAAAAGTGTTCCTATTTCTCCACATCCTCTCCAGCATCTGTTGTCTCCAGATTTTTTAATGATCGCCATTCTAACTGGCGTGAGATGGTATCTCAATGTAGTTTTGATTGGCATTTCTCTGATGACCAGTGATGATGAGCATTTTTTCATGTTTGTTGGCCTCATGTATGTCTTCTTTTGTAAAGTGTCTGTTCATATCCTTTGCCCACTTTTGAATGGGCTTGTTTGTTTTTTTCTTGTAAATCTGTTTTAGTTCTTTGTAAATTCTGGATATCAGCCCGTTGCCAGATGGGTAGATTGCAAAACTTTTTTCCCAGTCTGTTGGTTGCCGATTCACTCTAATGACTTTCTTTTGCCGTGCAGAAGCTGTGGAGTTTGATTAGGTCCCATTTGTCTATTTTGGCTTTTGTTGCCAATGCTTTTGGTGTTTTGGTCACGAAGTCCTTGCCTACGCCTATGTCCTGAATGGTTTTGTCTAGATTTTCTTCTAGGGTTTTTATGGTGTTAGGTCTTATGTTTAAGTCTTTAATCCATCTGGAGTTAATTTTAGTGTAAGGTGTCAGGAAGGGGTCCAGTTTCTGCTTTCTGCCCCTGGCTAGCCAGTTTTTC